CTGAAGGGCTCTCCAGCTTTTGCCCTGTTCACCGGGATGAAAAATGGCAGCAAGTGCCGTCCTCAAGGTCTGCCCTCACTGTTGTCTCAATTTGTCAATCTTGGCATCTTTATACACCATCCAGGCCTAAAGTGTCAAATGTGGCTTGAGAAGTTACTTCCTATGTTAGAAAATCATAAATTTTGTGCCTTTTAGAGGGGAAACAAGTGCAGCATAAAGGACATGGGCCCCCACCCTCGGCTCCTTAAAGGGGTTTTAAATTATGCTTGTTGCTATGGGAACTATCTCTTTGGTCTTTGCCAAAGTAGTCACCTGACAAAGGTCCATTAGGAAGTGTATCATCTGCCTGTTGAGAAAATGTATGAGAATCTGTGCAGCCAGGCTGGGAATCTAAACACAGCCTGTGCCACCTGCAGATTTCTCAGGGACAAGCTTCATTCTTCTGAAGAATGGGTTATCTTCAGGTTCATGGAAGTTCTTCAGTGCAAAATGGGCTTCTGCTCTGTGTCAGATGTAAAAAAAATCAAATTAAAAAAAATCACTGAAGTCAAATTAAAAAAATATGCAATAGAAACAGAGGGATGGTTTAAAAGCAATCTGGCCAAAAAGAGGTGTGTGATGTGACCAAACCTGAAAAACGTGCACGATTATAGTGTTGCTCTCACTTGAAAAAACAAATAGCCATACAACATCAATTAGGGCTGTGTGAATATGCAGTAATGAGCAGCTTTGAGTGAAAGAGTGGAGACAACACACTTGACAGTAATGGCTGGGGTGCTGCCTGCAGCAGTAAAGACAGTCTGTTAGTGTAGAAAACTATTCTAACATAATTGTTTGTACAATGGCTACAAAACACAAGTGTACTGTTTGTACAGCACTTCTCAGTGACTGCAGCAGCTTTGACCTCAGCTCGATATAAAGAAAAAACTGAATGAATCAACTCTCGTCTCTCCTTTCAGGTCTTACCATAGCAGGTGGATTATGTTAATCACACTGGTCCAAAAGTTTTACACTCTCTGGACTCATTGGTAGTTTATACAAGGTTAACAACATCTGCAGTTTGTAGGTATTTCAACAACAGAAACATAGACAGGAGCAGAACTCACTGTAAGATCGGTCCTGGTACTTTCAAACACTAAAAGAGGTGCCAAAGTACTGAATACGTTAATGTATTAGCGCTGGATACTCTAATGTCTTAGCTCTCAGTACACTAATGCCTCTTCTCTTCTGGATGGATTGAAAAATAGCACCTCACCAGGTCACTTTTTTGTTAATTTTGTTGACTTTAATGTCATTGTTTAACTGAAACACGGAAATAGTTCCATATAGATTAAGTGACACTTTGTTAACTAAACACCTGGAAACCTTTTTATGCATTTCCTCTACTATCCTTTTTCACCCTAACCTGCTGCACATCATTCTCAGCATGATAAGGTCAACAGCCTATACTGTACAAATGCAGTGACAGTTCTTGGTCTCAATGTTCCACTTTCTCCTTATCACTCAGTTATCAAGAACATACTATTTTCTTTTAGTAATTTTTTATTGCAAAAAAATATATATTTTTAGGTGATTATCAGGACTTTATTTCAGTCCACAATGCCCGTAATAAATAGAGGAGATATCGTAGAAAACAGGACATGTCAGTGTAGAGCCCACAGCATCTATCTGAATGTCAAGAAAAATAATTGTAGTGCTTTTATTCACAATTTTAAAATTTGCAACATAAAATGCCTTGGTTGAAGACTGACCCTGAAACACCATTTTTGAAAGATGCCAAACACTTAAAAAGACCAGTTCATGGTCTTTGGTGAATAAGATACTGCATGAGTGTGTAACTTAATAAATATCTGACAATTATAATAAGCTATTTACATTATGGGAATTGAAGTTTTGTACTTAACCAATTGATAACCTTTTAAAATCTGGCCTTTTTTACGGGTCAGCGTGAACAGCCATAGTTCCTCGTTAGTATAGTGGTGAGTATCCCCGCCTCTCACGCTGGAGACTGGGGTTCAATTCCCCGATGGGTAGACTTTTTAGTGTGAATTCTCCACCGTGCCCCGCTGTGGGACGAATGTATACATCTGCCTTAACAATTTCATTCAAACTTTATCTTCAACTGAGAAGTGACGTTCTACCTAATTGATACTAGGTTTTTATTTGGAAGCAGTTGTTCCAAATAAATAAGTACTATGTCAGAAATATGTTTTAATACACACACACGAACATACAACAACAAAATAAAAAAGTACAACAAAACCTCCATCATACATGCCTCACCATTCATCTAGCCATGCGTCAGTCCCATGGATGGTTGCATTGAGGGACTGACGCATGGCCATCCTGACAGCCTGACACTCAACACAGTTGAGTTTTTGTCTATCATTTATAACATCACAGAGGGCAGATAGAAACCCGTTCCAGTTTGTTTGCCTAGTGTGAAAACACCGATGAACCAGGATGCAAAACAAAGAAAAGAAAAATGTTCATTTGTAGAACTGTACTGGCCTCTGCTGGACAAAATTAAATACTACATTTAAATTTGTATTTTAGGAAATTATTCTACATTGAGTGTTTAAACATTTTGAGGCTTAAAGTGTTAAACGTAACCCGTCATTTTTTATTTGGCAAAACACAATAAGAACAATATTGAATGTGATATTTAAACGTTGGTGTTTGGATTGTTTTTTAGATTTTTAAGCAAACATTAAGGGGACTAAATTGTCGGGGAAACATATTATTCCCCGCGTTATGTATGCAGAATTTTATCCCAATGTGTTCAGAAACTAAGATATAGAGAGGGGAATCTGTCATGATATGGTCATTCAAGGATGGTTTTCCGATATTACCCATGATGCATCGCGCCGCTGGCCATGTTGTGCGGCAAAAGACGCGTATACTGTCAAATGAACTGACGTCCTGCTTGGTTTACTGCCCTCCACACCAGCTAGTGGCAGTAATGAGTCTCTTCTAATCCAATGAGTCGGCAAGTGTCGGTCGACATATATTGGAGTAAACGAAGAGGCGCTGCAGACGAAGAAACAGCTGCTACAGAAGTCGTTTGGCTGTCACGCATGTTTTATCTCCGGAGCTTATAGGCTTCCTTATGACTGCACGGGTGAGTTTTCTGACTTGTTTTTCTACTTGTATCACGTCTGTGTTAACATGCCATTTATGCTCCAAAAAAATAAGCACATGGGTTTGAAGGAACCTCTGCTCTACTGCGTTCACGTCGCTAGTTTTATGAACGATAAAAAGTTGCATTAGCAAGTCTATGTGTGCGTATTACGGCAGCCGATTCGAAGAGGTGGTTTTAGTATAAGATTGAGAAGTGGATCATTTGTTTTAATTTGTTATAAGTTAATAAGTCTTTCAATTGAGATGTTACATTCGTAAAATTACCGTTGTGTGAAGGTTTATCAGACTAGACATCCGACAGTCATGTGAGGAGCTGCCTGGGGGCAAAACGTGACTCTTGTGTTAAGAACAAAGAGTCACAAGTGGGATAAATATGTGTTGTGTTGAATGAATTGACAAACCTAATGCTGTGACAACTGAAAAGAGAAAATTGTTGTAATGTCAAACAGCACTCTTTGACTTTTTTAACAGTAAGTTAAATCCAACCTTTGCTGTTCAACCCCAGGTCTTTCAGAATTCCTGTAACTCTACATGTGTTTTTGCAGGTTTGTGTGTTGTACTTTGCAAAAAGTGCAGAACTGACTGGTTTAAAAGAGGAAGAGGTAGCTGCTGTTCCAACGCCAATCAGCAGCCGGGATCTTTGGAACCTGTTGCTGCAGCGACACCCAAGGTAAAGAAATGGTTGTACAAGTCAGTGTAACACAATTTCTGCATCGTCATAAAACAATTTCTTATGTGTAAACATGTTTTTTTCTACAAACACACTGATTATATTCACGTGTTTGTGTGTTCAGGTTGCAGACTCTGCAGGACAGGGTGGTGTTGGCAGTGCGTCAGCAGTACGTGGCCATTGGCGACCAGGTGGCAGTGACGCTGGGAGACAGGGACGAGGTTGCAGTGGTGCCACCACTCAGTGGAGGGTAAAAAAAACTGGTAAGACAATAAGTGATAAAGCCAGTATGTCGTGATCCGTGAGTTGGTTCTAGCTCAGCTTTGGCTAAAGTAAATATATTTTTTATGTATTTTGCACTCTCACCTGCAGTTACCAAAGATGTCAGTGGAGCAGAGAAATGTCCTGAAGCTCTGCCATGATAGGTTGTCTGTCCAGGAAGTAGTGGATGCTGTCAACAGTGATTCCTGTGGAGCAACTGCAGTATTTATAGGTTCATATTTCCATTGTCTTTAGTGAAAGTACAAATTGTATTTTAAGCATGAAAACAAGAGTTTCTATTAATGTAACCTTTCAAATGTTTACCATAGAGTAAATGAATAATCAGTTGTTGTCTGTGTGTGTGTAGGAACAACACGTGAGGACGAGGTCAATGGCAGGAAGGTGGTGGGTCTGGAGTATGAGGCATATAAGCTCATGGCCCAAACAGAGTTTGTAAAAGTTTGTGCTGACATCAGAGAGTACTGGCCAGCTGTTGTGCACATCTGTGTTCACCACAGGCTGGGGTGAGGTGCTGACACTGCAACGGACAAATTAAATTCTCCTGTTTCCAAAAAGTATCTTCAGCCATGACTTAGCAGTTTTGTCATTATTTAACTGAGGGTTGATCTATCAGTTGTAAATTCCAGATAGACAAGGGCTACATTGAATGTAACTCATACTCAGACATTTAGAAACTATTAAACTGCCAGTATCTTCTCAATGGTAACCAGCTGCAGGAAATACCGCCACCTTGTGGAGTCATTATCATAGCTGGATGTGAATTATCTCATGTGAAACTTGTCACACTTAAAACTCATCAGCAACTTCTCCCCTCAGGTGGGTGAAAGTAGGTGAAGCTAGTGTCGTCATGGCAATTTCATCTCCTCATCGCCATGATAGCCATCAGGCGATCCAGCACTGCATCAGTCAGCTGAAGGCCAAAATTCCTATCTGGAAGAAGGTACAGAGCAACACAGAGGCATACAAACAGCTATGGTTATTTACTGTTTTTTATTTAAGTGGTTGACCATTCATTTTGGATCACCAGGAGGTGTATGACACACAGGAGGTGAGCTGGAAGGAGAACTCTGAGTGTTCCTGGTCGCTCCACAGTGAAGTTCATGAAGAAAATGGCAATTTGTCAGAATAACGTGCTGGAATTAAAATGTGTTCGCTCTGAATTATCTCTGGCCATTGGTTTTTCTGTTGTAACAATTACTGTCTTTTCATGCGTCTGTTGTGGCTACACTGTTTCTGTGGCTAAACATGTCTTTATAAATCCAAACATGCACAATGTGTTCTAAATATAGAAAAGTAGAAAACATACTTTACCAAAGGGTCAATAATATCTGTGATGAGGTCTGCAAACTTTGGTGTGGTGGCTTAGTGGTTAAGGAAGTGGACTTGGGTCTGGAAGGCTTCAGGTTCAAGTCCACTAGCTGCCAAGTTACCACTGAGGTGCTCTGAGCATGGAACCGTCCCCACACACTGCTCTCTGTTCACTTTGGTGATGGGCAAAAGTCACCTTTGGTTGTGTGCAGTGATGTGCTGTGTCACAAATGACAAGGAGATCACTTTCCTTTACTTCCTTTTTTATGATTTTACAGGTGCCATATATTTGATAAACTGTTTTCTTTGTGCTTGTTTACTAATTGTAATATATATATTATTTTATTTATTTTTGTGTTTTTTTATTTTACGACGCAATAAAGATCCAAATGCAGTTTCTTAATACACCAGCGGGGGTCGCAAGGAGACGAGAGAACAGGGACAACAACATTGAGCAGTAGTGATGGGAAATCCGACTCTTTTTATTGAATCGAATCTTTGACTCTCGAACAATAAAATGAACGAGTCGTGAACGAATCTTGAACTAATTTCATTCGTTTTACAGCAGGTGGCGCTTTATCCCTATTGTGGGCGTTGTAAAGAAGGCTGCGGTTCTCCGACACTAAATACTAAAGGCAACATGGTTTGCTTACGCTGACAAAGTCTACAAAGTACACAAAATACCATAAGCACTTAAAACCATGCGAAACGCTAAGAAATAAAAACACTGAGAGCAAAAGACACCCGAGCTCTCTGTCACGTGACAAATGAAACGAATCTGCGAGAACGAAGCGAAAGATTAGTTTGCAGAGAGTGATTCGTTCATACTGATTAGTTCACAGCGAAAGATTAGTTTACAGTAGTGATGTGTCGTTCGTGAGTGATTCGTTCAAAATGAACGAATATTTCATATGAGTCGTGACTGCCGAGTCATATGAAAGATTCGTGACTACCGAGTCATATAAAATATTTATTCATATTGAACTCACGAATCACTCACAAATCACTCACTGCGAACTAATCACACTCTGCGAACAAATCACTCTCTGCAAACTAATCTTTCACTGTAAACTAATCTATCATTGCAAACGAATTACTCTCTGCAAACTAATCTTTCACTGTGAACTAATCTTTCACTACGATCTAATTACTCTGCAAAC